AATATATAAGAAAATGACCAAATTATAAAAGAATTAAAAAACTATTCTAAAATCTAAGAAAACTTGTTTATAAATATAAAAACATACTAACTAGATAAAAAACCATCTAAATAGTTATAAAAATCTATATATAAAGCTATTTAACAAAAAAGAAAAAATTAGAAATTAAAATAAATTGAGATATGCTTCCTAGTAATATGATACAAAACCTATAGTTAAAAAGAATTTCATAATATTAAACTAGTCTTTAACAAAATAGATCATTAAAACAGTATTACAAAATATGATTTTAATTAATATTACTATACCAAAAAAAAAGTTAAATTCTAGGATAACAAACTAGCAATAGTAGCAGAAACTTGATTTAAGATACAAGTTAATAGTATCTGGACAAATGAATAAAAGGTTAGATATTCATTTTATATAAAAAAATGCTATCTAACAGAATTGATATAATATGATCACTTTAATAAGAGATATTATATGCATTAAGTAGAGCAAACTCAAGATAAATCTTTAATCTAATAATGCAATATCCACTCAGTTATATGGTGAATCTAACTAGATAACAAGTTTCTAGCTTGAAATATAAACTATAAAAAACTATTTGCACCAATTACAATACATTAATAGAATCTATAAGAAAACTTGTAGCAAATTATATTTGTAAATATATCAATTTGAAAGCTCATTAGAAGTAGATATCCAATATACCAACTTGGAAGTTATGACTAGTTATAGAAAAATATGATAGAAATATAATGATTATTAAAAATAGTTAGTTTAAAATGCAAATCTAGATAATACATGTATAGAGCATAGATTATTCTAGTAGATTTAGGTTATAGATAAATTAGTCTAAATTTTTGTAATTTGTAAAGTTAAAATATATACATAATTGTAATTAGGATATAAGTTATATGCTAATAAAAACCAGAGGTATAGTTTCACTTAATATTAAAAAAAAATTTATATTTAGTTTAGTTTTTTTGTTTTCTTATCTTTTCTTTTTTTGTTTATATATATTATTGTATTTTTCTATATCTTTGTATTCTTTTTATATAGTTTTTTTTTCTTTCATTTTTTTACAAAAAAATATCAAATTGATAATATCTTATTGTAGAGCAGTAGTCAAACAAGCTCTTAGTTAGATATTATCTTAATTAATTATACTCTACTAGTGTAACCAGTTATTTATAAACACTTAGTTAATTTTAATTAAATTAAAGCAGCCATAAAATATTAGGGCTTTTGTTTTATTGTAATCTGTTTTGTCTTCAGGTAATAGATTTACCAATAGCTTTAATAAATTTAGTCACTAGCACAATCTGCCTAAATATATATAAAAAAAAAAAAAAACAAAACAAAACTATTAAAACCAACTACAATCAATTAAAAAATAATTTAAATCAACTACAAAAAAAACAATTCAAATTTAAAAAAAATACTACTATTTAAACTTTAATTTATCTTACTATAGCATTTCAATATAACCTCTATATATTATTTAAAATTCTACTTTACCTATAATCAACATCAATAATACATAATTTCCAAAATGAATAATGAATATCTTTCTGTAAACTGTATAAAAAATATTTATTCAACCTTAATCCTAACCTATGCTTCTATTTAACAAATTTAATTAGTTTTAAATTGATGCTATTGATCGAAAATGGGATATCTATTTTTGGTTTTAGTTATAAACCCAAATTAAGTAAATTTCCGATTCCAAATCCAAACTATGTAATAAACGTTATATTCAAAAAAATGGGTTAAGCAAAAACCCTAGCTTTAACGTCGTAACAGCCTCCTTTGATAATTATGACTAGTAAATCCAGTTTCCTGTTTATATCGTCTAAACGCTTCTCGTATATGATCAGGCGACAATGGTCCTTCTGAACCCCACTCTTTTTTAATGTCCAGTGCTTTTTTTAAATCATTAGAAATTAGTTGTACGCGCAAATGCAAATAAATTAAATTATAATTTTACTATTATATCATAATACCTTTCTCAACGATTTCTCCGATAAAGATCTTGGAGAATCCGGCTACTACAATTGAAATATTATTTGAACATGGTTGTCCTAAAATACCACTTACCAACTAGTGTTTAAAATAAATGTGCCATGTAAATATAAATTGTATGTAAATAGATTTAACGTGGATTTAACTAGCTAGCTAATACCTTTTTGATATTTGGTTTGCTCAAAGCCGAACGCCTATACACTTCAAATCGTTCAGTTTGCTCTTTCGAGAAAGCTTTTAGTAACATACTTGAACAACATTGATTCATTAATATCTTTAAAGATACCAAAAACATCTCAAAACAAAAGCTCACTTGTGTTGTTCATAGACTCGTGATCGCATTTGGGCTCGCTGTAAATCCGATTCCGCGGTTGCACCAACTTCATCATCTTCATCTTCGTCGTCATCCTCTACAGGCTTCACATCTTTATTTGATTTCTCAAAATCAGTATCGGTTATTTCTTCATCCCGTCTAATATATTGATCTATTTCTTCGCCAGGTGTCTGTGGAGCGAAATCTCTAAGCGTCGAGGGATTAATATTTGAAGTAGGATTTGTTGTGGTTGAATGAGCACCAGTGCCCTCTAAATGTTCTAACATAAGAGCCCCAGAAGATTGCTGACGTTGTAAACTTGGTTTACGGCCGCGGGTACTACCGCCTCTACCACCTCTACCACTTCTGCCAGCGCCTCGTGTGGAACTTTCGTCTTTTCCAGTTTTCGTAGCATTACTAACACTATTACGTTTGGTAACTCGACCACTTGCGGCTGGAGGCGCTGTATGTGATTTTGCGGCTTTTGGACGTCTTGAAGCTTTAGTCCCACCAGTGGCAGAATTTTTTCGTTGTATATAAGGTGAGATCAGAGGGGGAGAATTGTTATTCATCAATTCAGAGTTAACGAATAAACACAGAAACAATTTCTCCTAGACAGAAGTTCTTTTGATTGGATATGGACGAATCTAATTGCGAAATTATATACATTGCCGCACCAACTACCCCAAAATTAAACTACCCCAGTATCGATCTTCCCCAGTATCGCCACCAAAAAGTTGCAGTCACGTGACAACGATAAAAATTCTTTAAATTCGTTAAGGTTAGGGCTAGCGGTATATTATGGTTAGATGTTAGTGGGGTATATTAGTAAAATTGCTCAAGGAATTTTTTTTGTTAGTGCACTAAAGGTGGTTTCCTATATTAGATTTTGAGTTATAAGCGATTGTTGGCAAAACGAACGTTTGTTTTGATTTTTCCTGATCGTGCAACGTTACACCTGATCTAGAAATCTTATTGGTTTGCGCCACAAAAATATCACGTGACCACAACTTTTTGGTGGCGATACTGAGGTAGTTCCTTATAGACAGAAGTTCGTCTGATTGGCTAATGTAAATCAATTGCCCGGGTAACTTATTTATATGCT